ACCAGGCTTTGAGCAACCGGCCCTTAATGTCTTTATCCGCAGGGAGGCCCTTAAAGCTCAGTTATGCCTACTTTAAATTCAACTGCATAGATAAACATTGTTCGAGAAACATTGGCGCGATTATGCTTCACACAGCTCATACATACTTATGTATCTTCCAACTACAACTACACACATTTGGCCGTTCTTATTTCTGCCTCTCGTTGTTCAATCGAATGCACTTTTATGTAGAAATCAAAAATCAAATGACTTAACCGATTACACTCAAAGCTCATTTAACCGATTTCTTATGTGCCAGAGGGCTAAGACCAGATATTCCTTGGCCAGCAATGAGTTAAAAGATTCCCGCCCGCAGCTATCCTCTTCTTAGATCATATTTGATCTTTGAAATCGAATCAAAAGTAGTCATTCAAAAACTCATAAATCTACATAATGGTGTTTTCTGACCCAAATCGGCAGGTCGCGACCTCTAAACTACTTTTAAAAGATCTATAAAATTAGGTCTTGAAATTTCCAAAAAAAAAACATTTTCAATGGGCACCCTAGTATGTATGCATGTATTTACCCTGAGCTCATAGCAGTAAACCTCTCATCGACTATACCTTCGTGTTTAGCGCGATCTGTATAAAAGTTTATGGCGTTAGGCATATGCTGGGGTCTGCTCTACAAATCCTGTCCAATTGGTATCACATGTTTTTATTTGTTATCGAAAGTGAGCGACGGTAATATATAATACTCGTAGTTGGTACTCGGTATGGCTATCGAAATTGTCTCGGCCGTGCCTAAGATAGCCGAATGGACTGATTGTATTGCTTCAAACTATGCGCCGACTTCATTAAGCCAACAATAAGAATTTATTGCTTTAATATCCATATTCTATAAACACAGATGAGGAAATTAGCGGCGTGCTTGGAATGAAAAGTTTCGTAACAACAGATGATTTTCGAAATTTTAATGTAGGCCTTTGCTTAGATGAAGGCGTGGCAAATACAAATGATGAATATACTGCCTACTATGCAGAAAAGACTATTTGGTGTAAGCAAAAGCAGAAAACTTAAAGCGAACACAATCGTATAAATATGTATAAACTTCATCATTTTCCCCCAGACGTTCAATTCATTATACATGGACCTGCTGGACATGGATCGCTGCTGCACAAAAACACTGCGGGTGAAAAATTGGAATATATTCTCAATAAAATGATGGACTTAAGGCGGCAGGCAGAACAGAAATTAAAAAGTAATCCCGCTTGCAGTCTCGGTGATGTGAATACCTTAAACTTGACTGTAGTAAAGGGTGGCGTTCAGTCGAATGTGGTGCCACCAGTAATTGAAGCTACTTTTGACTTACGTTTAGGTATCAACGCAGATCTAGAAGGTTTGGAAAAACAGGCAAGTGATGTTATGTGACTACAAAATACATTGTATGTATATGTAATGCTTTATTTTATCTAAATATCATTATATTTTACAGCTTCGAACTTGGTGCGAAGAGGCAGGAGGCGATATAGATATTAATTTTAAGACGAAGGACAAGAAGATTGCGACAACTTTTGACATAAGCGACACAAATCCATTTTGGGTTGGATTCAAAACAACAATGGAAAAACTGTATAAATTAAGTTTGCTAAGTCATTTTTATTAGTCGAGCTCAAAGCGTGAAGCATATAATTTCTTTTCTTTTCAGGGGCTTGAAGCTTCGCCACGCAGTGCTACCGGGTGTCACAGACGTTCGCTATTTGCGTGAATTGGGCATTCCCGCTTTAAATTTCTCACCAATGGCAAATACACCAATTCTACTTCACGATCATGACGAGTTCCTGAAGGTAGAAACTTATTTGAAAGGCATTGAAATATACGAAAATTTATTGGCAACCATTGCAAATGTTTAAAAATAGGGCTACAAATTATAATGTATTCTCCTTACAAACAACTTTTTATACATATTTGTAAATTACCCAAAAGATTTAATTATTATTTTTAAACAATTTAACGGGATCACCTACAATCTATTTTAAGACATTTATTAAAACTTATCTAAATATCATGTTATCTAATGAATATTGGGGTACATGGTTGTGTGCACATTAAACACATCCTTTAGTTATAACAAACAAAGTCATTATAATTTTAAAATAAAGTTTACATACAAATTTAATTACTTGAGTTGGTAATTTCTCCAATTTCATAGACCTTTTCATTGCCTCACTCGCATAATATTCGCAATTCGCTTTTCCTGCCACAGCATGTTTCTGTTAGAATTTTTTTCTAAATCAATTGTTAAGCTAAACAATAAATTAAATAACCGACCTGTACACAAATCCCCTTCTTCCGGCAATTCCCTTGTAAGTGTTTTCTTAGACGTGCTTGCCTGGGAGCCCAGCACCAGTTGTTTTATTAAATTCACAGGAAACGGAAATATGATATTCTTATTTTGATCACCGGAAATAAGACTTAAAGTTTGCAAATAACGCAGCTGCATAAGACAGTTTAAAGATAAGCAACATAAGCACTTAAGATAAGATTTAACTGTGCAAAGTATGCATGTACCTGAAGCGCTACTGGATTCGAAGCTATAACATCGGCAGCTGCTTTTAGAGCTTTGGAAGCGCTAAGTTCACCATCAGCGGAAACTACTTTTGCTTTCGCCTCTCGTATTGCCTCAGCTTCAGCAGCCATAGCTCGCTGCAAGTTTAATGGCAAGCGTACATCCTTACTGGAAGTGTAATTCAGTTGATTTTAATAATTTCTCTCAAAAGTGTTGGGTTTCTAAAATTTTGAAAATGACTACATTTGTGCTAGCAAGAATTTAGCAATCCTAAAACGTGAAAAGCGATATGTTTACGGCGTTAAAATTAAAGATGTGGTTAAAAAAAAGTTTTCTTACTACTTTTTCCTACGCAAATATAATTTTTCCCTACAAGACATGGAAATGAACACCCCTATTATGATCCACAACTTTGAAGATAGTTGAGTTGTAAGTTGTAAATTGGTATTGTGGGACACAACTCAACTCAACTTTGAACAAGTCAGTTGTTTTGCACCAGCATTTTCGGGCTCATCGGTAAAACATAATTGGTAACTGGTTTCAGAATTATTTTAATATAATTCAAATAACATAATCTTAATAAAATATAAAAATTTATATCGAATTGCCGACTTTTTCAATGGCTACAGTCAACTGAAGACCAGAGACCCAGAATAATAATTATTTCATGGTGGAGTTGTAAAAAAGACATCCAAATTTTCGTAAGAATTATAAAAGTCTTTTGATAATAATTATGAGTGCGAACAAATTTTCTATATAGTCCCGAACGGGTTCCAAACCAAGCCCCAATTTGTCCAAAACTAGTCCCGAACTGGTCCCCACCTAGCCCCGAACTGGCCACCAACTAATCTTGAAATGCTCTTGAACAAGTCCCGCCTTTTAAGACTTTTTTTGCGCTCATAATTATTATGAAAAGACTTATTATAATACATGTAAGTTTTAAAATGAAAGTCTTTGAAGACTTAAAAATATGTATCTCAATGATAATTATTATGAAAAATTTTTTATAATATAAGTCTTAAAATAAAAGCCCTTGGAGACTTAAAAATATGTATCTCCTTGAATAATAGTTATAGACGACTCGAAAAATATTTATCTTTATATAATGATTATTGATTGACTTTTATTATTTTCTCTTATAATAGTTATGTCTCTGCTGAAAACAGTTGTGAATGGTAATAGCAATAAATAATTGAGTTGTCTCAGACACAACTCAACTAAGTTGATGTGTGAACCATATAGGGGCCATAATTGTAAAAGTTTTAGTTTTCTCTAACGCGCTGCATTTAAAAAAAAAAATTACATTTGCAATCCGGAGTTGCGATAGGTCGTTCATACAACTTTTTTCGAAAGTTTGCCATTCCGCCAAAAATGCCACTTTCCGACGTTTTATGAATCGCACTAATATAACCGCGTAAATTGTACCTCGCTGTGGAAAAATGTAGATGAATAAAAACGCAGACAAAGTACATATTTTAAGTCTTGCTGTTCCGTGGGTGTATTCAAGCACAGATGAAGATTTAACTTGCTAACATTCGTTAGGTCAGGTTAGGTTAGGTTATCCTGGCTGCCCACATTCCGTACAGGAAAAGAGCACACTTACGCCGCCATGGGCCCATTGTGATGCCATATTAGAGACTCCTAGCGTCCCTCCTCCTCCCTCCTCAGAAATAGCGCACAAATCGTAGATACTGGCCGAGTCGTTCAGCCAGATACTCAATGGAATAGCGGAGGAGCGAGCGTCGACGAGCCCTTGCCAAAGCGGGACAGTGGCATAGGTAATGCTCCACGCTTTCGATTTCCTCCTAATCGCGGCACCTACGACAGTAATCGTTTATAATACAGCAAACAATTTTGTGAAAAAATAGACAAATTCAGAATTTTGAAATTCCCTACCTTTAAGTTAATATAATAAGTCTGTCCTTTTTTCCCTACATCGCATATTTAAGGCTGAATTTCCCAACATGTAGCCTCTTTTCCCTACTATTGGCATCACTGGATAGGGGGAAATGTACCAACAGCTAGTTTTGTTAATTAAAGCTCGGCTTGAAGAGCTAAGCAACTGATTGTCGGTAGTCTCCATGCGAACAAGTGGAGGTGACATTATTTAAGGATATTCCAAAATAAAGAATTAACCATGCTTTCTCGTCTTCTCAATCCTTGCCAAGCTGATAACATTTTTCCTTGTTTCTGTACACATTTATGCATGTACATACATACTTACATCTCAACACGCTCCACATACACTCCCCAAGGTGATGTAGCGCTTTTCAAGATCGCTGCCATAGCCATCGAAACCGCATCTTTTTCGGACATCAGTTCCAAAACATGCTTTTGGCCTGCTATATTACGTAGTGTCGCCTGTGCCAGCATTCTAGTAGCGAAATGAACATTTTCCACTTGTATAACCGCCAGCAATGGATCAAAAATTCTATAATAAACAGCAGCGTCAAGGCTGATGGTCACGTGATCTTTTGTCAGAATTTCCTGCGCTGGTACATCATATGATATCGTTCGCAAATCAACTCTCACACAATAATCGATACATGGAATTCGAAATACAAGACCCGGGCCGCGTGCTCCGCCACATCTACAACGATGGCATAGATATATAAGTATGTATGTATGTACATAAATATGCAGCATACAATACAATACGCACCTTAGACGACCGCATCTAAATATAACTGCCCTTTGATATTCTGACATCACAATCAAACATAAGAAAATTGATATCGGAAATGTTAATACAACCAGCAATAGGCTTGAAAATACAATGGCCTGTTCAATATAGCTAGGTTTCTGATTCTCGCCTGCAAATCGATAGATGACCTTTCAATTGTGTATATTGGCATATATGTAAGTATCATCTCACTTGTTGCGAAATAGCGGATCTCTCTTCTCTGACGACTCATATTTAATTAACGGAAAATTTTGCCTTACAAAATAAAATTTAAATGTTTATTAGAGGAATTTGATTGAATTCTACGATTTGAAGTTTTCTTTTACTGCTTGTAAATTTCTAGGATGTCTGAGGCAATGAAATAGCAAGACAACGTAAAAGCAAGTTTGCATACATTTATATGTACGGATTCTTAGGACCGGGTTATAATGGAAGTGACGGAACGGTGTGAGCTGTCACCTAATCATCTATTGTATTCTATCGTATGTGAAATGAATGCAAATGGTTATAATGCACGTTAACGTGACGTAAAACAGTAGAATCTAAAACCTGTACATATGCAAACAGATTCATATTTTACATCCAACTTAACCCTAGAGTACTAACCATAATTTAATCTCTGCGAACCACCTTCCCCAGTAAACTCAAAAAGATTGTTTAGTGCAACGGGTGGCATTTATGTTGACACACTATTGTTTTAAAAATAGAAGTAAATTAAATTTTATACATATTATTAAACTTATGCATTTGATGTTTGAACTTAATAATATAACGACTTTCAGGTCCATAAAACTCAAAAATATTGTTTATTCAATATATTTCACATGCGCTTCTATAGGTCCATTCTTTTGCAACCGAGCAACAAAAGAACACTCGCTTAAATGACGAAATACACGCTAAGCAACAACACAAACTCGGCTATTTATCCGAGTTCAGCCAGGTCGTTAAAAAATACGCGACCCGAAGAGGAGTGTTGTTAAGTGGAAAAACTGCTCTATTGTGAATTGTTAATGAGAAAGTGGAGAGGGAAATTTTTGTTTTCGTATATACATACACGATTTATATTTTAAATAAGTATATATATTACGCAAATACCTCGCATAATTACTAATTTCAATTGTTTTTTATGTCTAAATCCCGTTGAACTAATCACATGTTTATTGCCAGCTACCAGCTTAAGTAGCTAAAAGGAAATTTTACCCGAGTTGAGCGTTCTTTTGTCGCTCGCTTACAAAAAAATGCAGCTTATTTTATGTATTTTATATATGTAAGTGTATCAAAAAAGGACTAAATTTTCTCCCGAACTTCACAAAAGAGATCAATGTAAAGTAAAAAGGATCAAGTTATATTTCTTTTAATATAAAAAACAGCAAAAGTTTTAATTATAAAGTCATTTTGGGCATCAGACAGTCTCAACCAGGGTGTCCAGATTGTTAAGAAAAAAGCGCAATTTCTGAAAAAAAAAAAATCACCAAAAATCAAGATTTATTTTTATTTAATAAAATTCATGAAATCGACTTAACAAATCTTTTATTTTAAAAATGAGATTTGGCAATAATATAGTTTTTAAAACCAAAAACGAATATAATACCTTTAGAGGGTAATAATAAATAACACAAATCACTCATATAATAATGATGTACAAACAATTTTCTTACTTACGCATACTTTTTAAAAATATTTGTTTCAACCCATTTTGCAATAGGACTGCGCAATTATTAAATTTATTATAACTCCCATTAATTGATTAATCGCAAAATCCGCTTTTAAGAGCTCGGCGCTAAAAATAAAATAAAAATCTATAATAAGGCGAGATCAGCTACATATTTTCACAATTTCTTCAAAATCACCTATAGTGTCTGAATCATTTACATTTCTGTTGTTGTCATATATTCAGCTATTCAACCTTGAAAACATACCGTATCAAACAGTAAACGTTTTGCAGCAGAAACTATTAGCCTTCAAATAACACTTTATTCGAACTAGAGATGGGCACGGGCCGGCCTTTAGGCCGGGGCCCGACGGTCCCCTGCGTAAGCCCGCGGGTACGGGCCGGAATATTTACTGTCAGCGCGAACTCGTGCGGGCCTGGGCGTTCAGTAAAATTTCATAAAAGCATGAAAAGGCACGAAAAAGCCCGTTGCTAATACTAAAAATTTAGATGAGCTTTTGTTTTTATACAAAAAAAAAGTACATATTTAAAACTCTTTTGATAAGAGAAAAGCAAAAAAAGAAATATTTGGAAACCAATAGAAAATATATGATACTTAGTAGTTTTGTTTCAATACATATCTGTACATAAAATACCTTCCACTTTTTCTACTTTCCAGAAAATATATTACAAAAATCTACAATAAAAGTTGGCTCTTTATTTCCGGGCTTGGGCGTGTCCCGTCGTGCCGGGCCGGGCCGGGCCCCACTAAAATTCTTAACCTGCGGGCTTGTGCGTGTTTTTGAAAGTTGATTTTGCACTCGTGCCGGGCCGGGCCTGAAAATTTAGGCCCGTGCCCATCTCTAATTCGAACTATTGAATTAAGGCTTTCATGCCTCATACCATTTCGAATATTGGTTTTTGTTGAATTCACTACGGATAAAACGCGCTCAACTAAAGCATGTGAGTTCGGCAAGGATATCAATATGAAGGCTACTTTACTTATATTTCCAAAAATTTGAGCTTGCTCTTTAATAAAAGTTTTCACCAAAGTTTGGCCTTCTTCATACGGGAAGCGGGACGATATGTAAGCATGCATAATGGTCAGGGTTGGGCACGATGCATTAAATTTGTAATGCACTGATAATAGCATTGCCACTATTCGTGCAGTGGTAGTGAAATTTCAAATGCATTAGCACTAAGTGCATAGTGGTAGTGGAAAAAATTTGTCACTACCACTAACTATACAGTAGTAGGGAACATTTTTTTCACTACCACAGAGCACCTTGTGGTACTGAAATTTGAATTGCATTACCACTACGTGCATAGTCGTAGTGACAAGTTGGTTTTAGTACCACTATGCACTTAGTGGAAATGCATTTCAACATAGCTAGTGGCTATAAATTTTTGAACAAACCTGTTGTAAGGAAATTGTTATTAAAATCATAGATCGCCAAATTTTCCTAAATTTGTAAACTGGTGTAATTAGTTAGTCAAAGCGAAATTTTCGTTCTTCCTTTACCGCTAACCAGGTAGTGACACTGAAAATTCAATTTCACTATCACTAGTTGCGTTCCTCATCTCCCAGAAATAGCCCGAAAAAGCCCGAAGTAGTCAAATTTAGTCCAAAAAGCGTTCCTTAACTCGAAAATGACAGCAAAAATGAGAGAGCAAGACTCAGTGAGAGTGACTCTCTTCATTCCGAAGTAAAAAGATTTAGTCAGAAGAATTTTTGCTGGCAAAATCTTGAAAAGTGTCAAACTCAACTGAATTTAAATTAACGGAAACTAAAGAATACACAAAAAGTGAGAATAATCTAAAAAGTAAAAAATGTGAATTGAAAGTGGAAGGAGGCAAAAAATAATTGATATATGTATGTATAAGATGTTTATTGTGCTTGTGCATTTAGTGACTAAAGACGTAGTGGTAGTGAAAATTTCGATTTAGTGCAATTTGCCAAATCCTGATAATAGTTAGATTCTCATCACTTTTTAAAATAAAACTACATCAACCATGCACTTTTCTTAGCGGCGTTCATCTTTGTTTATCTGTTTTCCTTGACGTTTCTCCGCTCTTTACCAAAAATATTCTATAAATCCGGGTTGTATCTTTTTAATACAGGATTATTTTTTTACTTGGATTTCAGAGGAGAAATTTTGTATTGTTAAAGGTGTTCTTACACGATATGTATTTGCATCTGTAAATATGGCTTTTTCAATACATATGTAATTGCGTATGTCTGTCAAATTCACAGTCTTTATTTAACTATTTAAAAACACGTTCTTTGAAAACGAAATAAACTAAACTCAGATGATTCTATCTGTGTGTCAGATGAATACAGAAAAATTTATATTTCGTATGTACCTGCATCTGCTTTGTACAGAAACTAATCTAATTTACCTTTACACGATATGTTGGCATTTCCATATGTAAAAACTTTGCATGTACACACGCAAATACAAATCGTGTAAGAACACCTTAATTACACATTGGATAGTTAAGCTCGAAAAAGCAGATAATCTGGCCATAAGTATGTATATCGATAAAAAAAAAACTCGAATATAACAATTTTATGAAATTTATTATCCAATCGGATATCCGAATCGGGCTCTTATTTTTTACATGGTATCCGGAATCCGGTTATTTGGCAGAATCTCTATCCGGCACATGCCTACCCGTAATAAAAAGTACATGTGGTTGTTGTTTTTGCATTCTTGCTATCACCCTGTATAAATTCGCTTTGATTAGTACCCTTGAGTTAATTATTCTAGATTCGCAAATATCAAAAAATGCACACACAGCGGCGTTAAATGTTATTGAAACTCATCGAGTTAAGCAACTTCTTCAAAAGTGCGAAGTCAAAAATAGTACCAACTTTATACATATCGCACACCGTCTTCAAAAGAGTCACAACTCAAAATAATACGTTCGTCAGAAAATGCGAAAAACTATTTTGTAGCACATGTTAATCATATGGGCAAGGACGACTTTACCTTAGGTTTTTTTAACAAATTATAACAAAGTTTGCTTCAGCTTTTGCTGAAAGGTAAATAAAAGCTCTGTGTACATTTCTAGCGCATAATTTCAAAAATACCAAATTTTTAGTTGTGACTCTTTTGAAGACGGTGTGCGATATGTAGGAACTAGTTTAGCTACCAGGATTAATCGCAGCACGATATCTATGACAGGTTTACAATAAGTTGACATAAATTTTTTTTAACAAATTAATTAATTAATTAAATTATTTTAATTAATTGCTTTAATGCAACAAAACGATTTTCAATTAAGAATAACCTCACGCTGCTCATACAAAATTTACCAAGTGAAAATTGGTCCGATCCAAAGATAAATATTTTTTTTGCGGAGGCGTTTCAGTTCAAATTCACAAATGCAGTTGCACCAAAACACCTACAAGTGAAATTTGAATGCGGGTTTGTGGAAACCGAATTCCGTTTAAAAAGAGGATGAATATACATATGTTTAAAAAAAAAATTTAGTTGAAACAATTTACACGGAAGTGAATTATATGATATCATTTCAAATCACACCGCATCATATCAAATAACACCATTCTGTACCGATTTATTTTACACCATATTTCATCTCATCACAGCACATAATTTTAGTTTCAAACATCCATCATATCAATTGGAAACGGAAATATAATTGTTGTATTGCGTTCAGCGGCTATCGTATTCATGGTTTGCAAATATCTTAACTGGACAAAGTAAATCAAAATATAGTAATAACCCAGCTTTCTTTAACCGGCCTGTTCTCAACGTTACCGAGCATTTTGTAACCGAAAAATTTTTAATTTTGATTAACAAAAATTAAAACAGGAACTTTAGTTACCGCCGAAAAAATTTGTGTTACCCGCGCAGAAAACACTTGTAAAAGGTCTCTTGTATGCTGGTAACAAACATTTTGTAACCGATTAATAAAGTTACCACCCATTTTTAAACCTCATTTCGCATTCTGTGCACTCTTATAATTGGTGGAATCGCTGAATATATTAGCTCTGATCCAGTACTCCATGTACTTACAGGATTTTACACGAGCTTGCAGGAAGTTACAGGAAAAATTATCCCGTACTCCAAAATCCTGTAAATGAGAGCGGTTTCTGGAAAGTTGTGTAGAGAATGCAGTACCCAAACGTTTTCTTCTGGTAAAATCATGAATAGTGTCAAGTAATAAGCTGGTTGACGTTTTTACAAGAAAAATGCGTTTTTGTTTCCGTACTTTTTGGTTGTTACTCACTTTTTACTCTCACTTTTTTTCTCTTCACTTCACTTCTTCACTTTTTGCTATTTAACATTTTTACAGGATTTTACACGAAAAGTGTTGGATCAGAGGTATTGACAGCCTTAACAATGTTCCGTACCTAGAATTTCGATTACAAGAAGTGGTCACAAAATTTGGTAATCAAATTTTCCGGTTACAAAATGTGCAACAACGCGCAGAATGGGCCTGAGTTGGCAATTATTTATGTTTTATCTACATATGTACATACTATACCTGCAGTGCAATAGGATTTTTTCCGATAACATCTGATGCCTGCTTCAGGGTTTGCGCAGCGTTAAATTCACCTTCCGCTGCAACTATTTTCGCTTTGGCCTCACGAGTGGCCTCTGCTTCGGCGGCCATAGCACGCTGTAGAGATAACGGTAGTCGCACGTCTTTTCTAATAATAAACATGAATCGGAATTAAACAAACAAAAAGTTATTTCGTTAATACATTTAAATATATCCAGTGAATAAGTATTCGATCAACACTTAGTAATCTGTTTACATTTCAACGAGTTCTACTTTCACGCCCCAAGGATCAGTTGCTTCATCCAATATCTTCTCAATAGCTTGCGAAATGGCGTCTTTATCAGCCAAAAGCTCCATCAACATTTTTGTGCCCGCAACATTTCGTAAGGTCGTTTGCGCTAATAGCCTAGTAGAGGCCTCAACATTCGCTATTTGTATTACCGCTCGCAAGGGATCCTGTATTCTGTAGTAGATAACGGCATCAAGTGATACTGTCACTGAATCCTTTGTAAGTACTTCCTGTGGCGGCACATCAAATGACACCGTACGCAAATCAACACTTTGGTATTCATCTATGCAAGGTAAAATGAAAAATATTCCCGGACCTCGTGGACCACCTTTCCTGCAGATTAATGACATAAATTTGTGTGAATATAGATAAATGCATACATATGTATGTACTTGTACTTAAATCAGTCGCGACAACAACGAATCCCGCGGAAGGAGGTTTTTCGTTCTATAGATCTTATATCAGTAATGTGCGAAGAGAGTTTTTACTCGACTCTCGTCTATGTAAAATACCAACCGCATGAAAATTGTACATATAGCTTATATAAAAGCTTTGGAGCTCGCATCTCCGAAGCGCTGGGGTAGCACCGGCCTGCCCACGGGCAAAGCTCTTTCAAAAGCTTTTACTCTGTGCGTGTCCTATAAAATCTACAGAGATTTGAAGAGTTCCGCCCGCTGTTTTGAGCATCACTGGTATACATTTAGTATAGGAAGCTTGAAAGATCTTTGCCCGCGGGTAAGCTGATGCCCTCCACCGCTCTGAAGTGTCTAACTGTGTTTTACATGGACACGCACAGAGTAAAATCTCTCTCTGATCGTCATAACTGCCTCAAATAAACTAAGCCAATTATGCTTTTCATCGCTACTCAAAGCTCACCTTAAACGCCCCAATCGGAATACAACTGCGCGTTTGAATTCCATCATCACAGCCAAACAGACAAGTAATGAAAGTGGAAAGAATGCCAAAAATATTAGAAATGAGCACACAAATGCAATTTGTTCGAGCAGAGTTTTTTCCTGATTTTCCGCTATTAAAAATTTCATTTAGTATTTGGATTAATGCGTGTATTACACACAAAATTTATGTTTACTTGTTTTTACGGGGCGGCCGCCATATTGATATGATCCAAGCGGTGAGTTCATTACTAAGAATTTTTTATGCGATTCGAAATAATTGTATGCAATAAATTCACTTTTTAAATTTATATGTCAAAGAAAAATGTATAAATTTAATTGTAAACTCGTATGTAAAAAGTGTTAGTGAAAACAAACGAACTGGGTTTATGCCATGATTCAATAATTATTGAATCATGTATGGGGTATATGTATGTATGTACATTAGACCGAATCACAAAAACAGTTCAATTTGTTCAAGCGGTTTTGAACACACTGTGAGGATGTTTCATGAGTGTAAACATTTTTTTGGCACCCTGTGAAAACAGCTGAATCAGATTTTTTTCCTGTAATCTCTTTATTTGATTTCCAACTCCTATAAATGACATACCGTTGTGTTAAACAGCCTACAAGCAGAAAAAATTATCCTATCAAGTCAAACTAAAAAGTTAAATATTTTTATCTAACAACGCCACTCTGCAATCAATAGAAAGAAACTCAAAAGTGCTCTCCCATGATCAAGAGCGTCTCGAGTATACATTTTCCAAGCTTAAGGAACGAGCACGATACAGTCAACTTGCATCCCGCATATATAAACTTTATGAAATATTTATTTACAGGTGAACTCTTACACGATTACCAGTGGTGTAGCTTCTGTTTAATGAAAATATAATTTTCGTTATAAAAATATCATGGATAGATACGGTTCGAAAATGCAGTTTACCGAGCGGAGAGCTTACTATTACCACCTATTTATTATCTATTAGGGGGGATTGTAGAACACACCACAGCCGTATCAAATGACTTAAAGATGAAAAATGGGGTTGGATCGGGTCTGTACTCAAAGGACCTTCAGATAAGGCAATCACATCGACTATCTGATAACTGCAGTGTCTTTCAGGCGGAGGAGATATTTGCCATAGAGAAGGTGGCTTGACCAACACGCGATAGTAAGTCTCTATCAAGGACTGTCACTACATTCGTTGACAGCCAGGCGACATTGGAAACATTAGGTTCCAAGGTAGTAAAGTTAAAAGGAGATGCCGTGCATCGCTGGCTTTACTGAAATTGAGATGAATAGACACCGCTCGAAAATGCGGCGTACCGAAGCGGGTAGCTTACTACTACCACCGATTTATTTTATACTAATGGGGATTGAAGAACACACCACAGCCGTTTCAAATGGCCTATGAATCGATATCTCAAGATCCTTATTGACGCTCAACAAATCTGCAGTAAGGGCTCTTACCGGCATCATCACAAGACTCTGTGCTATAGCAGCAATGCTCCATCGATAGTGTATACCAACAAACTACCCTTGCAGGAGTTGTCGGTATGGGGTAGAAGTGGAATTGATTCACCACTTCCTTCCTGCCCAGCACTCAAGACTTCTTCTTCTTCTTTATAGGCGCGGTAACCGCCTAGGCGATTTTGGCCGAGCTAAAAACAGCACGCCAGACATTTCTCTTCTGTACCAACTGACACCAATTGGAAATGCCAAGTAAAGCCAAGTCCTTTTACACCTGGTATTCGCTGCACTACGTCTATATCGCTCATCGATAAATCATCTGCAATATTCGCCATCGCCAACGCGTAAAGGTCCGTAAGTCTTTCGCAGAATCTTTCTCTCGGAAACTCCAAGACTCGATTTATCAGATGTTTTCATTGTCCATGCCTCCATGCCATACACGAGCACAGGCATGAGGAGTAACTTATAGCCATGGGTAATAGCGCAATTTATATGGCGCTAGCTCAATAATGCCGGCGCCGCCTGGGGTTTCAGTGAACCAACTCAGCGCAATAGCACAGTGTACTGATTTGAACACGGCGCCATGTGAGTGTCACCACAGCACCCATCGTCATACAGTGTCAAACGCAATACAGTGGTGTTATGTCTATTATTTCTTTAATTTTCGCTGAGCAGCGCCTGTACCGCCAACCGAATTTAGCTGCTAGGAATGTAGTAAATGCCACGATACTTTCATCATCCTTGAGTAAAGCTTTATATATGCCAATATACATATGTTTCTGGCGTTCTCACCACTCAAAAACAAAAACAAAGTACGTGTAATTTTTCAAAGAACTAAGGCTAATTGTGTGTGTCTCATGTGTTTCTTGTTGTTAACGGCGCGGGCGCTTTTCATATATTGGTATTGGTGCCTCAACTCCAGCTACGGTGTTAACGCAATTGCGCCGCGCAGCGCTGTATTACCCATGCCTATTAACTTATAGAACGTGATCTTTGTAAAATGAGAGAGGATTTTACTTCTCAACTGCCTACTCAGTCCTAAGTGGCTAGGGATGCAACATCGCTCTTAAAAACATCGATGTTTGAAACGATGTTAAAAAACATCGGTTATAAAAACGATACATCGATGTTTTACCGATCTTTTAATTTCTCATCTACTACACGAAATAAAATGTAGCCTAAAATATTTTTAAAACTCGAAAGAACTAGATTCTCATATCCGCTACAAACCTTAACTTTATACAAAACTTTGAAAAACTCAACACACTTTTATCTTAATTTTGAGCTTTTTTATCTGAATTTTTAGAAAAAGCCGCGATGTTAACATCGATATTTTTGGACGAAACATCGATGTTTTGAAAACCTCGATGCATCGTTTGCATCCCTAAAAGTGGTGCTTGTTTGCAAGAGTGATTCCCCGTCTACTTTTTCAAACTTGTAACTGTCAACAGTGGCATGTGTGCCAAGACGCGTATGCTCTGACTATAGGTGCGTTCGTTTAAAATCTCCAGTAAAAACCAACCAACTGCCAAATTCCGGCGAAACGTTATCTGTTCTCTCACAAGAGAAAAATATCCCAAATAGTACGCGAACAGAAAATTTGCAGAAACTTGCAAGTTAAGCAGTGTGTGCATTATTCAACTTTGCGTTCAACAATTGCGTTCAACTCAACGCAGGGTTGCACGAAAAAAAGTTGAATGGCTAAATGTTGGCTGGCGACCAACTTTGTTGAAAGCGATTAGTTGAAAGGCCATTCAACCAAAAGTTGAATGCAAAGTTGAACAATGCAAACACCTTTTTATGGCGAATATTTTGATATTTTTTCATATTTTGATATTTTTAGCCATTCTACTTTTTTTTCGTGCAACCCTGCGCTGAGTTGAACGCAAATGTTGAACGCAAAGTTGAACAATGCAAACACACTTTTAGACGAACAGCTGGTATAATTTTTGTTTACATTCAAAAGTGTAATATTTAAAACGTTCGAAAAGTCATCACAAAGTGTTATACTGACACAGTTTATTGATTAAACAAATAACTACTTATTTCTTACAAGTTTAATTAGTTGCATTTTGTTATTTTTAACTTCCAAACCATCAAATTCAATTTTGTGATTTGCGTAAATGCCAACCAGCTGTTTTTGATCAGCTGTTTTCCTGTTGGTTGTATTTTTATGAGAAGCTGTTTTTCATGACAGAAATACACTCGGAGGTTTGCCATTGCCTGCCGAGGGACGACCGCTGTTAAGAAAAAACCTTTTTTCTATATTTTTTTTTGCGATGTTTTCACTTATGCAAAATCTCAAAAAACCAATCAAGAATTTGATACAGATTAGGAATTAAAAGATTGAAATGATATTAATGTCTGGACATAAGATATCTTTCCAATTCTCATTTAATTGCTCTAGTATTGGTAAAATCTACCACTCCTATTCTGCAACTCTTTCGTATTCGGATTTTACTACGAATCGTAGAAATAGTATGCTGCAATCCGAATCGTATTTTCGAACTTTCGAAATTCGTAACAATGACATGCCTAAAAACGAACGAGTAAGCTTTTTTTGCGTAATTTTGTACGAAAACAATTCTGTGTCGGAGGCGAAATAAAAGATGTAAATCAATCATGATGCAATAATAATAATGCATTCAGCTATCTTCGAAAAACAACAGATAGCTGGCAATGCTGCACATGTTTCCGCAAGGGTTGCAGCATGTGGATTTTTCGTTTTTCGTAGCGTAGCTACGAATTATGAATTACGAAAATTCGGGTTCTAGAATAAGGGGGTATGGTTCGGTCTCCAAATAAACGCAGCACATCCCAATTTTGAACGCCAGCTACGCTTCATACTTACCTCATTCAGATGGGTGGAATTTCGCAGAAATGTATACAATTATCGACCTAAATCGTTTGATAAAGTTATGAACTTTGCTTAAATAGATTTCCATACAAAGTTTGACAGTTCACTTATCAACAGTTTATACATTCCGGATAATCCCATTTCACAGCCGGAATAAACAGAATGCAGAATGAAATATACGTTAACATATCATCAGGAACGTTCTAAAGAATAAGTAAACAAACAAGTTTATATCAAACGTTCAGAATGAATAAAAAAAATGCGGCCTTTGTAAAAAGTTTGAAAATTGGATTTATACGGTTCTTGTAATACATCACACTTTTAATAATGTAGAGAAGACATTAGGGGTTTTCATCTAAAGGGATAAAGGATAAATCGCTTAGGGCCAATGGTTCAATGTCTGACTAACACAAATCGGAGGTAGAAGCTCCGGTTAAGTACACTGACTGCTTTATCGATGTTATATCGAATATATCGAATGTTATATGCATTATGTCGAAAAAGTCGATAGTGTAGTGGTAGTGATAACCACACATTGAACAACCGGCCATTTATTAGTTTATCCGCATTCTTTCATGAACGTACCGTGGTAAATATCACATAAAAATGTGTATTATTTAATTTATATCGCCAGTTATGTTACATTCTTACCTCGTCGATTGGGTTCATTTGCTTTTTATGTGTTCGTAGTGAGACCGGCCCCGTCGCAACGTGCAAGGGTCGAATTTTGCTTAAATTTATACATTTATCGACCAAAACCGTTTGATAAAATGATAAAATTTGCAAAAACATGCAAAGTTTGACAGTTCATTTATAAAAATGATATATTTATAATTTAATTAAGTTTATCAGCAGTTTAACACTTTAGATGAAGGCCGCTGTTCTAAATTAATGTACGTTTTTTGGAGAAATCATCAATCAATTAATAATAGATATGATAGAATATGTTCTGTATAACAGATGACTTCACAAAAGCGAATATAGGTGCCTTTCCATCTGTCTTTTCTTATACCAACTGTTTGAATTGATCAAACTTTGATTGCGATAAGATTTTGTATTGATGATCTTAAATTCCCATATCTTCCGTTTTATCGATATTTTTATTTAAAAAAATTGTACCGTATGGAAATCATAAAACAATTGAAAACAAAACAGGTTATGGTCGCTCTTAAGTCTTATAATTATAAAAATAAAAAAAATAAGAAGTAAGTGGAACGTAATACAAAAATTTATTGTGTTTTATCGAAACGCTCTGGACAAATCTGGATTTCCGTCCCATAAGTTACAGTACGCCGATACCTTTTGTGTTTTTTGGCATAATCTCTCTGCGCTATTTTAAAACTTATTCAATGTCTAGAGAAATAACATTGGTCAACAGTTTTTGTTTTGAATGGCGGCAGCGAACGTGTTAATTAAACAAAGGAAACTGTCGATAGCTTGTATCAAAAGAAGTGCTATTAAAATAGCTGGCACTGTATATCCACGCTCTTTTGTCATCATTGTGAACTAGGCATTATAAATTGATTTGTAAGTGCAACAGTGTGGTTGGCTAAAACAACCCTGCCAATCGCGCCAATTGACTAGATATGCAAATTTTGGGGAGTAACATCGATACATCGATGTTTCGATGCATCCGAAAGATTAACATCGATGCTCAAATATATCGCCAGAAAAACATCGATGGTTTCCGATGTTTCGAAATTTGTTAGGAAAACTTAATACTTTTCAATACCAACTCTCTGTAATTCAAATATTGGTTTATTTATTTACCATTCCTTCCCTATAAGTAAAATAGATATGCATGCCGTCCTAAGTTCGCTGAGCCTAAAGTTCCAAGGCACAATTTCGTTGAAATTTCAACGGGATCCCGATCCTTTTTTAATGACTAAGTAAGCATTTTTAATATCGAAAGATAAGAGTAAACTCGGAATTTCTGAATGTTCCTTTCAAAAGAATAAATATTAAAATGCATGGCCTGTCAAAAAATTTTAGGAGCATAATTCGATGTTAAAGCATCGCTGAAACTGGCATCGATGTATCGTCAATTTAGCCATTTTGGGAAATTGTAAACATCAAATTTTGAACCGATATAATCGATGTTTCAAAAATATCGATGCATCGTTTGCATCCCTACACTTGACAGTTGAAAAAACCAGCATTGCCTGAAAAGTGTGTAGACGTGAAAATTTGTTCTGGAGAAAAATTTTAACATTTTGTGGAAATCTTAATATCCTAAAACAAAAAAAAATGTCTTTTGGTGGTCAGCAGAACCAGCCTTGGCAACAGCGAAAGACTGGATTTTATCAAGGCGCAAGTCCGACCGCAATGTTTATGCAGCAACACGCGGCTTCGCAATCTGCCTTTGGTCACTCGGCCATTTTCTCGCAAGGCGGCTCGGTAGCACCCTCCGTAGCCTACCCTCAGCAAAGATCGGCTACTTTGAATCCCGTTGCATTTCAACAACCTAATAGTGGAGGCCAAACCATGACCAATTCTATTGGCACCATAACTAAAATCAATAATGAATGCGGACTTATAAACGACGAAGTTTTTTTCTACCGTAATGCGTGTAAGGGCGTCATCCCGAAGTTGGGGGATAGGGTTATATTCGAAGCCACTTATTCCACCACTGGCCAATTTAAGTGGAATGCAACTTTAATTCAATTAATGGGGTAAGAGAACCACAAAAAAAAATACATATATAAAATAAAATTAATCAATACTGTCACTTAAATCCCAAAGGAGCAGCATATCTCATCAAACTCAGCAATTGCCATCATTAATGGCAGGAGTAAGTAGCGGCAGAAGTGGTAGTGGTTATAATGCAGTTCCACCACCCAACGAATATCAACTTGCTCAAATGCAACTGCAACAACAACGTCATGGCTCACCAAGACGTTCTTCTCCTTTGCGAGGCGATCGCTCTAACTCGCGAAATGAACGTGAGCGAGAACGACGTGAGCGGGACCGTAATATTCGCTCGAGGGACAGAGAAGATGTAAGTTTATGAAATTTAGAAATACAAATCTAGTATTCTTACAAAGCTTTAAAAAATCCTTAAATAGGATGAAAGAGAACGCAAACGTCGTCGTGAGGATAATGAACGTAGTCGGGAACGCGCCATTGCATCCATTGGGCGGCCTCATGATAGAGATCGTGACCGTGCGCGCCCTGATAGCAAATCAGATCTTGCGTTGGAGCGAAGGGAGCGCGAACGGGAACGAGAGCGAGAACGTGAACGTGAACGCGAACGCGACCGGGAACGGGAAAAGGAACGCGACAAGGAGCGCGGGGAACGTACTGAGCGAGAAGAACGTCCTGAGCGTGGAGAGCGTTCTGAACGTGCAGAACGTCCTGATCGTGGAGGGCGTCCTGAGCGCGCTGAACGAAGTCCACATCGTCCGCCTGCAAAGGGGCGACGTACACGTGCAATTCGTCGGTATATGATTCAGATACCAAAAAATATATTACCTTAGTAAGTCTGAAATATATTAATATTATACATTTTTGTTCTGAGTTTTAACTGTTTTTAAAAATTTACCTTCCAGCAATTCGGCTGATGTTCAAGAGTTACGTCAACGTTATGAAACAATGTATATCCCATCTGACTTTTTTCACTGCAAAATTTTGTGGCCTAAAGTTTTCACGCCGGAAAATTCTTTTTCATTACGACGTCCATGTCAATTCCATGTAATGCATCGCATAGTTGATTCTCCATTCGAGCAAAACAACGATGTACTAGAACCGTCTGATGCCGACCACAGATACTCGGCTAAAGTGATGCTTTTAGCTTGTCCCCCAATAGCCGAACTTTATCAGAAATGCTTGGAAGATGACGAAAATGATAACGAACAGAATGCAGTGCATCCATCTCGTTTAATTAGTTTCCTCGTAGGTACCAGAGGAAGAAACGAGCCAATGGCCATTGGTGGCCCGTGGAGTCCATCGCTGGATGGTGAAAACCCTGACAAGGATCCTGCCGTATTAATTCGTACGGCCATACGTACATGTAAAGCATTGACTGGAGTCGATCTATCACAATGTACTCAATGGTATGTATTCTGAATAGGTATAGATCTAGCTTTTAATTGAATTATAAAATCAATTATTTAATAAGGATAGCAGGATTAACAGTTTCTTAGCCGTGATTTATACCAGATTTGTAATTTATTAATCTAAACATTCAAATAGTTTGGTTATTTTTATTAGATCATGGTTTTAAAACTTAGGAACTAATCAAAATAGTTTATCCAGCAAGTGAAAACATATTAAAATCTCAAGGTTCTGGTTATACAAGTTTTATTAACACAATTTTATTTTCCTTTTTCTGGTAATCACATGATAAGATAGATGTGCAGATGTATGTATATATAGTATTTGTTTAGGTATACACTGCGACCAGGTGGTTTGATGCAATAGGTTGTTTGATGGCATCGTATGTAGATGTTTTGGCTCAAGCCTTGATGACCCGAGATATATCTCTCAAATTCTTGATACTGCTCTATGATTATGTGCTCTAGAATAACGTCCATTGCCGCCGCAGGGCAGAAGCACATTGCACCTGTGATGCATAGAGTGAAAGTCTGTTAGTCGCTATGTTGGCTCTCCAAACTCAAGCCACCGGTCAATAGGTTTACATGGGTTTTACAATTATCCAGTTTGGCGTTGAGTACGATGTCAAAATATCTAAATTCTGAGGCACCGCCGACTTCTATGCCATCCATAGCTACAGTTTTCATTCCCGGGTTCTTCCTTTTACCAAAGGAAAGATGGCTGTTTTTCTGGGATTATTCTGATAACACAGCGGCTGCTCTGGTTTAGTGGTTAGCAGTGCGCGCTATCACCCCGCAGGGCCTGGGCCCAAGCCCTGGTCAAACCAATATCGGAAAGAAATATAGAAAAAAGTTCTTTCTTAACAGCGGTCGCCCTTCGGCAGGCAATGGCAAACCTCCGAGTGTATTTCTGACATGAGAAACAGCCTGTAAAAATACAATCGCCGCTCGGAGTCGGCGTAAAACTACAGATCCCTCCCCTTTGTGTAACAACATGAAGGTGCACGCCACAAATCGGAGGAGAAGCCGGCCAAACACTAACATATATGTAAGCGCCAATCTATTATTGTAGAACCAGGCGGGAAGGTGACTGAACACCTCGATTATATAGTTCAGACATACCGCCTCGTGCGGGATATTGTCGAAAGCTACTATTATACAAAAGAGACACAGGCTAGAAGGTAATTAGCTGGTTCAGTGAGGTTTTGTGAATCTTACTGTCAGGTAAGAATGATGGATATTAACGGCGATATGTACGTATAATGGTCTCGTTAAGGCTATATACACAGTCGTTTAACTTCCCTTATGCACTCTATTCCATTAGTAAGTACCTGTGATTTGACAGTGATGACTTCGAATGTACTCTCAATTGCGAGTACGGTTGTACCGATAAATACTGGTCTACGCCCGGCATTCCATATAATTAAGTCGTTGCTTAGGATAAATTCTAGCGGTGACTCAACCTTGCTATTAACTTTTGTGCATCCATATAAATCCTGGCTGTTGCGAAGATGAATGCCCGTTATACTCAATAATATCCTTAAGCAATATGTATGCTTTAGGGCTTATTTGCAAGAGATCCCATATTATCTTATTAAAAATCTGTTTTAAATTCCGAGTCGAACATTCTCCCAAAAACGCCCTCAATTCTGCTGTCTATCTCAAACTTGTACATTGTTATGCCCTCCATAAGCTCCATCATACATGAAGGGACGGCTGCTGGCTACTTGCTATCTTCACAGGGAGTGATGTTGCTCCCAGCCGGCTCTGCATTTTCATTCTCGATTTGTTGCGGGCTGGGTTTTGTCTATTACATCCGATGCAGAAACGGTGCTGCCAGAAAGTTTCCTCCTCCATGGTTTCATCATAACACTGCTGAATCTATAATAATATTATTATTTTGGCGCTTACACCGTTGGAAAGTGTTTGCCCGAACGTTTTATTTAATTTGTGGGGGTGCCTATCTTGGCGTTCTTACACAAATAGAGGGACCTACAGTTTTACGCCGCCTCCGAAAGGAAAGGTATTTTATGAGATACTTTGTCATGGCAGAAATACACTCGGATGTTTGCTATTGCCTTCCGAGGGACGACCGCTGTTAGAAGAAACTTTTTGTTCAGTGATAATGCACGGTAATTCATAGACAAGGCCGTCGTTCGGATTCCCCTGAGGCTTCACAATAGCTTGGATTTTGCTTATCCTGCGGTGTCAGATGTCTGCTGAGATGAAAGTTGTCCGATTTTCAGCTGGCGAGATTCTCCGCTATTTTGTTTCCATGATTATTCGTTCTTCGACGGAGCGGTTTCAGGTGCGGGTGTATTCTCTTGTCCCCGCAGTCTGTTTTATCGCTTCTCCGCTCTTCAGCGGTCGAAGTTCGGAAGTCCCTCTCAGGTTTTCGTCGCCACCTTATAAAAATTCCCCTTGATATATATATCAAATGAAAATGGCACTGAATCGCTAGTACGCGCCAACAAGTTAGATTCGTAGGATCTAATATAGCATTATTGGCTATAACGAAAGGTGTTTAGGCTGGCTTTAGTTACAACTTTTTTCAATAAATGACTAAAAGAGGTATAATACAGGCATCGAACATCCCTTCAGTGGCATAGAGTAATGTTGCATAATAAAAAATTGATTCTTCCTTTGTTTTTAGCATTGAATCGTGAAAAAAACCTTTTGGCGGCTCTGTAGTGTAGGAATTTCAATGAGCTCAGATTTCAAAATCATAGAATATGGTTAGCATATGTTAATTTTAATTACATGAAATATATGTATGTATATACGTAAATATATAAGTTGTCATCAAAAATGTTACCATTTTTCTTATGTGTATTGATTAATTTAAGATTTCTAATTTTTTTACCCAATGTGTATTTAACAGAGACAACCAATGGAAAATAGGATATGCGTAAGCTTTTTACGCAATGAAATTTTATTTTATAACTATTGTAAGAAAAAAACATGATACTAAGTGCCGTTTTCACACTGAGAAGTTAGCTTACATTCGGAAGTTAACTACAGTGACGGGCAAAACTGTAACATGGTGTAACACTTTTTACTTCAGCCATCGCTATCTTTCCAAGTTCTAACGACTTTCATACTTTTGTTGTATATTCTTGTTGGTACATCCCTACTCCCTCTCTCATAATGATTTGAAGTCAATGCAACAACAATAAAAAAACCAGCAGACAAAAATGTAAATAAAGGCAGATGTTACAGTTTTGCACTCATATATTTTTAAGAACTTTTTAACAATCTTCACGAAACAAGTAATTTTTAGCAAAAAAAAACCGACTTCAACTCTCATATAAAAAAAAAAATATATATATATATCTCATGATCCGCTGATCGGATCTTAACCAGATTAGTATGGGACCACCTCTGAGACACTAGCTTTCCGATGCAAATCGAAATCGGTTGACGTGGTCCAAAGTTATGCGGTAACATACATCAAAAAAAAAAAAAAAAAAAAAATATTCCGACGAACTGATAACCTCCTCCTTTTTTGGAAGTCGGTTAAAAAAAGAACTACTAACACAATGTTCAGTACTCTTTTGCTTGTTTCAGTTCC